CTCTTACTGCAACCAATAATGTTAAAAATCTGTTAAACAGACAACTAAACAAATATAAACCTAATGGTTATATTGCTAATTGGCAGACATGGCAAGCCTGTGAAATGCTTTTGCTGGTTTTATACTCACTGCACCACCAGTTTATAATTAGTAAATTGGCTAAATTCCTCCAGAGCATTGGATCAGATATACAGTACTGCAGGATAAGGATCAGTTTGTCAATTTCCATAAATCCCATACAGAGACTAAAACCAGCAATGAGTTTCATGTTCTTATAGTTTTTCTCAGTCACTTTGGTACATTTCTCAGATCAGAATTGAAATTTGCAAATAAGTATGTGTATTTCTCAAAACAATTTGTACAAACAGCACAACACTATGGATTTCCTGCAAAAGCCTGTAACTTGCTCAAAATCTTTAGTTCATCTCTCAAAACTAAGTTTTTATGTCAATGAACATGTCAGTGCCATCAGAATGACAAGTCCTTGTGTCATTGTGTACGGATAAGACAGTCAAATTGCTTAGTCATGTTGTCAATATAACCGTGTACTTTGGAGGGAGGTTCTGATGAAAACTATGGCTACAGTTTCGATGACAATTATTGCAAATTGTAGGTTACACCTTAGTGTATGGGGGAGTTTGATTGCAAGAGACTGGACAAGATTCACATTTACACTTTTACTGTTTGTATTGTAATTTGTTGACAGACCATGTCATACCAATATAGAAAGGAAAACACAACACTGCATAGCACAAAGAAAGAAAAAAAACAAAAGTAAAAAAATGTGAACATAGGACAATATCCTTAGGGAAAAACTGTGCATGCAGTGCTGTAGGAATTACAGTGCAGTCTTCCTACACCTCCTGACGTTCCTGTCTGTTGGGCCACAAATTCTCATCCATGTCACAACAAATATCGTCTCTTGCGATGCAGCGTGGAAAGAATCTTTTAGAGTGTCTTATCCAGCCTCTGCAGGCATCTGCTGTGATGTCATCACACGCTGCATCCATGGCATACAGACGGATCATCTGTGTATGTGGCTGGCGATCATACACTTTCCATCTCCATGCTGAGAAAAATTCCTCAATGGGGTTAAGGAATGGAGAGTAGGGTGAGTGGAACTCTATCAGCATCCTGTTGTGGGCTGCAAACCATTGCCTGATGATGTTGGAGCGATGAAAACTGACATTGTCCCAAACTATTACGTACTTTGGCAGGTCATCTCCAATCTGACCCCTCTCTTGTTCAGGGATGATATCTCTGTAGAGAGTGTCTAAAAAGGTGACAAGATGCTCTGTATTGTATGACCCAATAATGGGAATATGCATTAGCACACCATTCTCAGAGCTAGCAGCACCCATGGTTATGTTCCCACCCCGTTGGCCTGGCACATCAACTGTAGCCCTGTGGCCGATGATATTTCGGCCACGCCTTCTGCGTTAGGTTGAAGCCAGCCTCATCCATGTAGATGAAGCTGTGCGGTGGTTCACTTGCTTCCAGTTCCATTATACGCTATATACAGAAGACACAAAATGAGTTTTATGAGTTACAAACATTTTCATTTTGGCCAAGATATATGGAGATAAAATACTATCAAAAATGTTACAAATGCGTGTTTAACGTTTTCTCTGTAACAAGCGATTTGTGTGTGTGTGTCATGAGGATCACAAATGCGTGCTGCGCAATCTGCACGTATAAAGCCATTTGTGTGTGTGTGTGTGTGTGTTCACAAATGCATGCTGTACAAACTGCACATAAAACACATTTTACAAATGCTTAAA